TTTTCGTCGCGCTGTGACGACGTCACGTACGCGCTTTCGTCGAGCGCGCTTTAGTCTACCGCGGATTTGTGGTGGAACCGACTGCAGGAGGCAGAGAGGAACCAATGGCAAGAAATGATAAACAAGAGAATGAACCTCTGCTCTCACCTGTGAATTTTATAATGGGAATGAAGATACGCAAGTCCCTGCAAGGCACCGTCGGTAATGGCAGCAATTTCTACTTCCTGGAGCGGCTTTTTATGTACTGGATTGGGAGAAAAAAAACCCAGATTTTAGTTTCTAGCAACTTTTTAAGATGTGTAAACAAGGTTGAATAAAGGCAGATCCGCTCCTTTCAATGGCCCAGAAAGTTTAAAAGGGAGGCTAACGAAGGATCTGTCTCACACTGGCCTAGAGACGAGAGATTAAGGCACCAGGCTCGAAACCAGGAGGCCGTGAGTTCTAGTTTCTTCTTAAGCATGAAAGCCCGATGGGTGGCTTTGGACCAATCACCAGGAGATGGTGAGTTCTAGTTCTGTCTTAGGCATGAAAGCCAGCTAGGTAGTTTTGGGCCATCACCAGGAGACGGTGAGTTCTAGTTCCACCTTAAGCACAAAAGCCTGCTGGGTGCCTTTGGGCCAATCACCAGGGGATGGTGAGTTCTAATCCTGCCTCAGCTATGAAAGCTGGCTCTGTGACTTTGGGCCAATCACCAGGATGATTGTGAGTTCTAGTCCTGCCTTAGGCGTTGAGAGTCTGCTCATTCTTCCTCAGCCCAAACCACTTCATAGGGTAGTTGTTGTGAGGAAAATAGGAGGAGGAAGGAATATTAGAAATGCTTGCCGCCTTGGGTTATTTATAAAAAATAATAAAGGCCGGAAATAATAAATAAAATAAAATAAAATAATGAAATGAAATAATAAAATAAAATAATAAAAATAAAATGAAATGAAATAAAACAAAATAGAATAAAATATATACACACGTACGTACACACAAACATAATTTTGGGTTATTTATAAAAATAATAAAGGCAGGAAATAATAAAATAAAATTAAAACTAAACTAAAATAAACTGAAATGAAATAAAAAATAAAATAATAAAAGTAAAATTATACAAATAAAATAATAATAAAAATAAAATAAAACATAAAAAATAAAACTAAACTAAAATGAAATAATAAAAATAAAATAATAAAAGTAAAATAATACAAATAAAATAATAAAAATGAAATAATAAAAATGAAATAATACAAATAAAAATTAAAAAAACAAAAAAATAATAAAAAAATAAAATGAAATAAAATAAAATATATACATTATGTACGTTATGTACACACACACACACAGAGTCAGTCTTGGGTTATTTATAAAAATAATAAAGGCAGAAAATAATAAATTATAAAAAAACACACATACACGGTTTAAATCTGTAACCAAAAAGCACTTAAAATGTAGACTGGGGAAAGTTTTTTTGTTTTCCTCCTGGCCAAAGAGCCCAGCCTCCTCTCCATATCTCCTTCTTCCTGTCACTACCCAGGGAATAAAGCGTGGGAAACCGACCACAGGGAATTTGTCCTAGTGCAGAGGTCAGCAAACTGTGGCTGTGGAGCTGCATGTGGCTCTTTCCTCCCTCTGCTGCGGCTCCCTCACCGGTCGGCACCACAATTTTGAGAGGAGCTTCCGGTGGGTGGGGGGAGAGAAGCGCAGTGCGCCAGGAGAAGACTCTATGGCATGGGGAGGGTTTTCCAGTTGTCTCCACAATTGATAGGGCTTCCGGTTAGGACAGGTAGAGGAAAAATGATGCCGCGCTAGGAGGAGACTCTATAGTGGGGGAACTGAACTTCCGGCCAGCTCCAGAATTGAACAGGGGGCTTCCGGTTAGGACCTTTGTGGCTTCCGGTGTTTTCTTTTCTGTGGGAAAACGGGTCCGAATGGCTCTTTGAGTGTTTACGTTTGCCGACCCCTGTCCTAGTGCCACCGAAGAAAGACAGACTTTCCTTTTCAGCTTTTAAATGAAAATATTGTGCGAGGAAACGATCTTGGAGGAGAGTTCCTTGGACCAAACCTGCCAGCCTCAGTTGCCAACTATGGAAATCAAACACGGCCGGATCCAGGAAGATGGAAATTGGCAACGGACGGTTAGAAAAAGACTCGGACACAGTGCTCCGGACCTGCTCCACTCTCTCTCGTCGTTCTGAGCCATCCTCCAACCGAAGCAGGGAAAGATGGAAACCGGACCCCACGCCGTTAATTCAGATGTAAGCTGACTGGCCTGGGAATTTCCAAGCTAGACATTCCGCTGAATTAGATGTTCGGCGCATCGGATGGAAACCATCAGAGGCTGTAAGGAACTGTGATGGGCCTAAGAAACGCTGCCGTGGAATGTAATTCCCTAAAAACGTGAGCCGCGTGGCCTAAAAGGCGCAGTAGGAGAGCGGAAGGCTTACCTTCCAACAGATCTGAAGCGGATCCCAGGCAGTATTCCATCACTAGCTGTGAAAAGATGGAAAGAGATGGAGCCGTTAAGGAATGGTCGGCATCCTTGGTGCTCTCTGATCTGGATTGTTTTCTTGCAGACATTCCCAGGCCAGTCAGCTTACATCTGAATTAACGGCGTGGGGTCCGGTTTCCATCTTTCCCTGCTTCGGTTGGAGGATGGCTCAGAACGACGAGAGAGAGTGGAGCAGGTCCGGAGCACTGTGTCCGAGTCTTTTTCT